AAAAAAAAAAAAAAAAAAAAAAACTAATCGATATAAGATAAAAAAAAAAGTTTTATTTATTTAGCATTTTTTACTATAATTTATATATGTTATTAGCATAAATAAAGACACATATATTTGAAATTTTAATATGCACAACCTTGTCAATTATTTTTGTAATATTTATATTATATTATTGTACATAAAAAGGCTAAAATGTTTTTTTTTTTTTTTTAATAATTATTGTTATTACTTTACCATTTCAATTACTTCAACTCAGAAGTGGGTAACTGGCTTTGTCATCCCTGAGCCCAACTCGATAACAAACCAGGCCGGTCAGCTTTAGTCTCCTTTAGGGTTTTGCTAGGGTTTCAAATCAAGAACAATTCTTGGCCTACACAGTGCACGCACGATGAGGGGTTTGCAGTTTTCCTTGAACAAAGGCCAGAAGCTAAGGCTCGAGAGGGCGTTGGAGCAGCTGGAATCTCTCTCCTCCAAGGCCAACTCCGACGCCTCCGTCATAGTCGCCGACGACATCTCCGTCAACTACGAAGACGCCATCCTCAAGTATGTCCGGTCGATTAATTCGTATTTGCATATCTTCAATTTTGTTTTTGAAATAAATGAGAATCTGGGGCTCACCTTTTTGTCGGCGGTGAAGGGGCCATGGGACGGGGGAGCTGGACGGCCGCGTGGTGGCGACGCTCTGTGGAGTGGTGGAGCGCGTGAATAAGCTCGTCTATGTCAGAGCTTTGAGGGCTAGGTATGGTTTGAACTTCGAACTTCTCATTTGGATCATTGTACTTTTTTTTTTCTCTCATCTTGTTGTTGTGTGGTAGGTACAAGCCTGAGATTGGAGATATCATAATCGGCCGTGTTATCGAGGTTGAATTACAATTAAACATCTGATCTTTAGTTTGTTATGATGATTGTTGTGTGGTGTTTGTCATTTTATAATGTTTTTTCAGTGAATTCGACAATTTCGTACCGAGTATATGTTTGATCGATGGAGATTGTGATTTTCTTCCTGTATGTGTGAAGGTTGCGCCAAAACGCTGGAGACTAGAAATCAACTTCAGCCAGGATGCAGTGTTGATGCTTTCTTCTATGAACTTGCCAGATGGTATACAGGTATCGAATGGTTTTTTTGCTTATTTGCTATTTAGTCCCTCTTTGAGGCTGAGTCTAGTGATTCTTGGGGATGAATTTGTGTTGCTTCTTTAGTATTTTCTGATGCTATTTGAGTTTCATGAATTATATAATTTGATGGCAGACCCGTGTTGCTACAAATCGGTCTCGTGAACTACAGAAAGTTTGAAATTACAAATCGGCCTTTATGAACACAACTTAATTCAGTAATTTTGAATTCAAATTACACGTTTTGAAAAGCGTCAGTTTCAAGTCTGAAATCAGTACTGCTGATTGTCATACTCTGTATTTCTTAGATCAGCTAGTGATCTGCCTGAACACATGTTATACATTTTAATTTATGTCCAATATCCGTGCCTTTTTTTTTTTGGCTTCCAGAGACGAAGAACTGCCGTTGATGAACTCAACATGCGTAGCATATTTGAAGAAAATGATGTTATCTGTGTAAGTAAGCTTCTTGAACAGCCTTATCTTGATCCTTTTTTATATTTATATCGGTTATTCACTTTCTCTCTCGCCTTTTTCTTTTTCCAATTCTTTTAAGTTTTTAATTTGATTATAAGATATACATGATTTCAGGCTGAAGTCCGTGGTTTCCAGCACGATGGCTGTCTACACCTTCAAGCGAGAAGCCAAAAGTACGGAAAGGTAAATGCCCACAAAATAAATGCCCTTTTCACCTTTGATTTACCTATGATAATTTAATTTCAGCTTAGTGATTTGTTTTACTTTTGAAAATAATTCCCCAAAAAAAAAAAAAAAACTATCTTGACACAATTTTTTTTTATTGTTCCTACTTAGGCTATGCTTGGTAAGCCTAGTTGATTAGGTAGCTTATAGCTTTCGAACTTATAGCTGATAATTTATGACTTATGGCTGATAAGCTATCCAAGGAAGCTTATTTGAAAAGCTAGCTGAAATAAATATTTCAATTGACTTTTTTGGAAAGCTACCCAATGAAGCTTATGAGATAAGCTCGAACTTTTTAAACATAGCTCGCGCCCTACCAGACTAAACTTGTTTGAATACAGGAAACTTATAAGCTAATTAAATAAGCTATAAGCTAGCTTATATGCTTACCAAACACAGCCTTATCCTTGTCACAGCTTTATCCTTGTATTCGAGTCTCTCTCTCTCATTTTATTAATGTATATATATATACATAAATTTTTGTTGATAGCTCAAAAGAGGCCAACTACTCACGATCCCACCGTACCTCGTCAAGAAACGCAAACAGCATTTCCACCATCTCGACCAATTCGGGATCGACTTGATACTCGGCTGCAACGGGTTCATCTGGGTCGGTCAACACGTCGAGTCCCGTGATGACATGGCAGAGGACTCACCCAAAAATTCCGAGCAACAAATTCAGAAATCGACAAACGAACTACAAGATGAAGAGACATACACGCCACTCGACACTCGGAGCAACATATGCCGAGCTGCCAATGCCGTTCGGGTCCTTTCCATGCTAGGGTTCATGGTCACAGTTGAAGTTATTACAGAGATTGTGAATCTGAGTATCTCTTTGAATCTGGACGTGCATGAAATGCTCGGGCCCGAGTTTTACGTGACTGTTGCGGAGAAAGAGGCGAATCGTCGAGGTTCGTCGGGGAAAAGGAGATGATTGATTATGTGCTGTTGAGATTGTTGTAGTGTTTTTTTTTTTTTTTGGCTGGAAAAAAGAAAGAATATTTGGTTTTTTTTATTGTAGTTTGTCCCTTGTTACAGAAAATTTTATTTGATGAACAGTTTTTGTGGAAATTGGAATTGACCTTGAAACAGGATTTTATTGTTTTATTAGTAGTTGAGAATCACTTTTTATCCAACTTTACTAATAGAGCAAACTCGGCCAAAGTGGAATAACTAGTATTTTAGAAGCATTACTTAGCTATACTTGGTAAAACTAATAAGCTAATTTATAGCTTATAAATGATAAAAGTGTTTGGTAAAATTAGTTATAATTTAGTTGAAATAGACATTTCAACGATCTTATTTGAAAAGCTATTCGAAATTTTAGTTTTTTAAAAAAATTCGTCCTACTAAATGAACCTTACTTGAATACAAGAAGCTTATAGGCTATGTTTGGTAAAAATAGCTGATAAGTTAGTTTATAGCTTATCAGTAATTTATTAGCTTATAGCTTATGATTTATAGCTGATAAGCTAGCTTATATGATAAAAGTGTTTGGTAAAAATTAGCTGATAAGCTAACTGAAATAAAAAATTCAACTAGCTTATTTGAAAAGTTATCTAAGGAAGCTTATCAAATACAAAGCTCGTCCTACCAAACGAGACTTATTTGAATACAGAGAGCTTATAAGCTAACTAAATAAGCTATAAACTAACTTATTTGTCTACCAATCATACCCATAGCCATAATGTGAACAAATAAGTTTTTAGCTAGTTAGTTTATTGATTATCAAACATAGGCTTAATGCCAATGAATTCCAAAACAAACGGGTAGATATTCTTCTGTAACTAGGAGGCTAATCGAATTACAAATATCACAAATAATGCACACACATAATTACACACTCATACAATACTTTTATTCAACATAATCGAGTGAGGTTTCACAAATATTACACACAAACTACACTCTCATACAACTTCTTGCACGTGAACATGCATCGGAGCTAAAATCAAGAAGGAACACGAGTCGAAGGAGACTAAGGAGTGTTTTTTCGAACGAAACGAAGGTTACTTCAAAGTTTTGGACAAGAGAACAAAAACCCCATTGGAGATCACAAAGCCTTGCAATGGAATTCGGTTTTTATAGATCAAAGCTCGTCTTTTGCTGGTGGTGTTTTATAGCACTTTTCGTCCCAAACGAAGGGGAATTTCAGTTTAGCAGCTGTATGTGGCATCGACCAGTCATCATATAGGAACCTGATTCAAGAACCAAATCATGACAAAATCACACACATTATTTCATAATATACCTAATCTATACGGGATCTGATTTTCTCACGAATAGAGTTTGAAAGAAAAATCTTACACTTTCATCGGTGGCCTAGATATCACAACTAGAAACTGCAAATCTTCTTTATCGTTCGTGTTCCAGATCTGTCGCAAAATAGAAATCGAATGGTCAATAATAATAATAACAAAGAAACCAGTGCCATATATATACGTAAGACTAAAAGAGGAAGAATCAGATATCAGTAATTTATGGACCAATTCTTGGTATTAAACGCAAACGAACACTCCATTTAAATTAAGCAAGTGTAAGAAGGGTCGAAAGATTTTCTGCATGAAACTACATTTCGACAAGAAAATCCTGTCAAAGTCGACCGAGACTCTCATTGTCTGTAGATCGCATAACATTTCAAAATATACAACCTTTTGCGTTTGACATGAACCACGAATAAAACAAGAACTTGTCTAAATTATCAAAACCAGAAAAAAGGGACCAAAAAAAAAGGGTGCCTAGCACTTAGCAGCATACCTGATGAACATCATTGACCGGAACATGAAATGTGCTATTCGCATAAATATGAAAAGCTTGAGGACTGCCTGGATATTTCTGATGGGACGAATTAGAAGCAAGATACAGAGTTCCACTGCCCTTCAGAACAACAAAGATTTCCTCACACGAGTGCCGGTGAATTGGAGTCCCGGCACCTGGAGCAACTGTCTCAAGCCACGTCTCGATCTGTTCACGGACAAAAGTAGTAATAGTAACCATTATCATTATTAAGTGGTGGAATAATAGACAATTTATTGTTACTTAGAAACTTATACGTCATGCTTTAGTCTAGTTTCAGAGGGCCCGAAGCTAGTTATCTCGATTACAAATAACCAATGATATTAGTTTACATTCTAAACAAAATAGCCTATCAGGCAAAGATTATCGAAATTGAATAGAATAGCTTATAGATACTTGTCATCTAAAATTTGAGTGATTTTCTTTTTTCGTCTGGGTAGTCAGGCCAGACGACATGGTAGTTCATGTAACTATTTCGAGCTTTAATAGATTCAAAATAAATACATGAACAAAAAAAATGTCATTTGGACCATGAATTTTAGTGTGGCAAATGCAGAAGGATCATTAAATTTGTACTATTTCTTAAACAAAGTATCATCAGAAATGCCGATTTTTCAGACAAGACAGTATCATTAAACGAGAAACTACAGAGTCTGAGGAAAAAGAACAACAATTGAAGATAAGAAATTAAGTATGTTTAAATTTTTTCATTACCTCCTGCAAACCGTGCAAGACTGAGCCTTGAAGAGTAATATGAGATAACCCAGGAATACCATAGCTGTCCTGTTCGAGCTCACTGATGTTTCGTACGATACGTACATCTGTTTGCCCAAGCACAAATTGAAACAAATTAAATAAAAAATCATGAGAAACAGGTCATAAACCTGACTTAAATTCAGGCACACCATCTGTTCGATAAAATGCGTAGCAGAGACGGAATGAAAATACTGCAGTAAAAAAAACGAAACATCCAACAAAAATAGGTACAGATAAATGGATAAGCAAAAGACTTGCCGTCGGTTGGACATTGGGAAGCCTTGACGGCGGCGGAGAGTAAAAGGGAGGTCAATAAAATGAGCCAC